TGTTTTTTATTAATGGTTTATGACTTGTATGTTGTTATTAGCAGTAATAATTAAAAGTGACTAACAAATTGCCATAAATCTAACCTGAAGACAGATCATCAACTGTCAAAAAATCATTTGTAACATAGTATAAATAAATCACTGCAGGAATAGTTAATAATAATGACAACAATAACTCTACCTTCATAATGTTGGAATACCATAGGGCTTGGGCTTTCTTTTTCTATCTAACTCACCTCCTTAATATCCTGTATAGTCTTTAATGATCTCGTATTGTCTTTTTCAAATACTATCTATACAAAGATAAAGGCCAAATATGCATCTCCCCACTGGATCTTTCCCCTACACTCCAGACTCTATATCCCATGCCTAGTCAACGTCATCAGCAAATCTTCTCAGTTCTACTTTCAAAATATGCCCCAAATTTATCCACTTCTCACTACTTTTACTGCTACCAACCCAGTTCAAGCCATCATCATTTTTCCATTGGGTTTCTGCAACAGGCTCGTAACTAGTGTTCCTGCTTCCACCCTTGCCTCCCTGCCTTCTATTTTCAATGCAGCAACCAAAGCGATCCTATGGAAACTAGTCAGATCATGTCATCCCTCTGCTCAAAATCCTCCCCTGGCTTCTCCTCTAGGTTATCTCCTTCTCGGCTACCCTTGGCTCCCTCCAGCCCCACTGCACCCCTTTGCTGTTCCTATTTTTTCCTAATAGTGTTTGGACCCTTGATTTGTCTACAGCCTTCCTTTTAATCTAATTCTGTTAATTTACCTCATCTTTGATATTTTTGTTTCACTGATTACATATTCTTTTTAATACCTTCTAGAGCAAGGTTACTCAAAGTGCTTGTTCATGATATTCTAAGAAACATGCCCCAGAATGTAAACCATGCTGCTTCCTGCACTGAGAGTATCTGGATAACAAAAAAATGTCAGCTGAACTAAACAGCATTCTTACTGCTGCAATTGATTTATATCCTGGCATAATCTGCTTATCTTCTCATTGGTAACAAACAGTTCAGAGACTGGCAACTTGTTCATGGACTACACTTTGAGTAGAACCATCCTAAAATATAAACATTTGTTGTATAAATTTTTAGCTTCTTTGTTATGTATTTCATAGCAATAATAGTTGCTAACATTTACTGAGTATTTACTATGTGCCTGCACCATTCTAAGACATTTTGACCTTCATAAAACCCCTAAGACAGGCACTATAATTATTTTATAGATAATGAAATCAAAGCATACGTGTATTGATTAAGTTGTACAAAATTAGTTATTTTATAGCAGGAAGGGGATTTACACTCAGGCAGTCTGATTCCAGAGTGCATAGTCTTCATGAAATGGAATTTTAAATCTGTTTTTTGTATGCTATGATTCTTGTTTATATTCTTGTATATTTGCTATAATATTTTGCATATTTGCCATAGCATATTTGCCATGTTGTTTTTTTTAATTCCTCTCTTGTTGAATATAGATAATTCTACTGAGGTCCTCTTTTGCATAGATATAAAGTAGATACATTCTGAACATTCCTTCCTTCTTATCTCAGACCTATTGATCTTCCCTTCAGAACTTTAGTTTAAGGGCACCATTCGGATTGATTATGTTTCTTCACATTTCTGTTGCCTGAGGGGATGGATATGATTTGCTCTGTCAGACTTTGGCCAATATTAATTGATAGTTTTTGTCTTATGTCTTTTCTGAGGCAAGGGATAGAGTTGGGGTGTCATTCTACCAAGTTATAAGTTTAAAAACAAATGACTCAGCCCTACAGAGATCAGTTTGACCAAATGAATCACTGTTACAAGTGGAAATCCCATTGGGGGAATTGTTCTATAGATAAACTTGCACACATATGAAATGCTTTTTGTACAGAATTATCCATTACAGCATAGTTTGTCCTAGTAGTAGAATGGAAGCAACTCACATATCTAAGAACAGGGAGTGATTATGGGATAGCCACATGCTGCAAGATTATGTAGTTGTAAATAAGAGGAAGTTATCTATGTGCTGTTACAGAAAGCTCCAAGGATATGAAGGGAAAAAGCAATGTATACTAATGTTTATCCACTGCTGTTTGGCATTTATATGTCATATATACATATGAATAATGATACTGTTTTTGAAAAGGAAAGGAAAACAAGAATATTCTTTCAAAATATTCTTATTTTGAATCTTGGGAAATTTTTGAAAAAAGGGAAAGAAAAATAAGAATATATATTCATAGAGAAACAGTGGAAAGATGCAGGAGGAACTGATAAAAGTGGTCACCAGCAGGAGACCATGGGGATAAGTAACAGGATGGATGGAGACACGTCACCACCTTTTTTTAAAAAAAGTAAATGAAAATATATATACATACACATTTTAATTTTTATGAACAGTGTTCTCATGTGCATGTCTCCCAAGTGGCACCCTCACTCTCCTCCCATTTAGCTGAGACAAGAAGGTGAAACCTAAATTTTTTAAGCCCGATGTTCACTGTCCTGGTGGAGGATGAAGACTTTAAAGGAAGCTTTCCAGGATTCTTTTGGCCAACCTTCCTCAGATTTTCTTCGGCATGCCTTGCCTTTCCTTTGTTCTAATAGAGCCCTTTTTATTGATGGAGTTAATTGGCCCACAGTGAAGCACAGTCATATCCTCTTACTTCCTCCCAGTCCTGCGAACCAAAGTGCACTGATGAATCCTGACCATCTCTCCATGTCTGAGTCACAGTGGTGGTGGGAACAGCACAACTTTCCATATCTTATTCTCTTGGCAGTCTCCTTACTCCCTCCCTCCAGATTAGAAGGTTATAGTGAAGTTTTATAAACATTGCCACCAGCTTTTTTCTCTCCATCTGATTTGGTGGGTAACATTGCTTGGAAGTTGGAACAACACATCATAGATATCTGAAGTCTTTTGCTCTTTTTTGCTAATTGGTATTTAAGAAAAATAAGTCGAAGTTGTAATTCTTTGTTTTTCTTTTAAAAGATTTTGTGATCTGCCTTGACACACTGTCTTACCCTAGAAGTTTTTCATACTGTTTATAAATAGCTGTTATATTCCTTCAAATGCACTTACCTGTACCAGCTAGTGACTAAGATAATGGTGTTGAATTCAATGATAAGAGTAAATCATCTTAATTGACAGAAAATAGATGCCTCTGGATGGTTTAACAATTGTTTTCTTATTCAGGGGAAACTTCTATAACTTTGCATAGCAAAACCCTTTTTTAAAATAATGCAGTAACAAAAGTTAGCAATGAATCCCATTCAATGAAGAGAGTCCAAATTAATTTGGTTTTATTATTTTGGATGTATGCATGTCACATTTTAGAGCTATTATGCCTTAGAATACCTCTTGGTAATTAGCACAATATACCACAGAGCCAGAACCTAAAGTACAGAGAGTGAATGTCAGCAATTTCCTCACTAGTCAGATGCAGCTGCAAACATTTACTCATATACATTAGAATGAAATTCTCTATGTTTTTTTCCCTTGGTTTTTGTTCCCATGACAGTTTTCACCACTTTGTTGAACAGTTTCTTCTAAACCTCAATTATTTAGCATATATAGCCATGTTACTTATGTTGTTATGAATGTTATTATAATTTTTTTCTTGAAGTCTGGCCTTTGCCCATAAAGAGAAAGTAAAAATGCTCTGGAATATAGCCTGTGGCTCACATTTGATGATATGAAAACTATATTTATATATTCTAAATGTTCTGTCTTTGATAAAAAGAAAACTGCCATTTGTGATGGTGGGGTTATTAGGAATATCGCCAACATTTTCTGAATTTATTTAAATTAGATTCACATAGTGTACTTTTCTTTCACAGTTGATCTAGTTCTTCTACTCTGAATTTAGAATTTTTTTAAATAAAAGAATGAGTCTAGGCCAGGCATGGTAGCTCATCCCTGTAATCCCATAACTTTGAGAAGGTGAGGCAGGAGGATTGCTTGAGCCCAGGAGTTCGAGACCAGCATGGGTAACATGGTGAAACCCCATCTCAACAACAACAACAACAAAATTACAAAAATTAGCTGGGTGTGGTGGCATGCACCTGTAGTCCCAGTTGCTCCAGAAGCTGAGGTGGGAGTATGGCTTGAGCCTGACAGGCAGAGGTTGCAGTGAGCTGAGATCATACCACTGTACTCCATCCTGGGCAACAGAGCCAGACCTTCTGGAAAAAATAATAACAATAAATAACAACAACAGAATAACAAAAATAAATTTAGACTATAATCATTCTTTGTTGATTTCACTGGAGAAAGTCTCAAGTCTTTGTTTCTAGAATTCACTTCCAAACTGAGATGTTAATTTTTCCCTAGGTGAATAAATATATTTTTTTCAGTAGTTCCAGGATTTGTTGGAAAAAGATATTTCTTGCTTTTCACACGCTCTTATTATAATTGAGTCTCCATTAGTTCACCATCAACACAATGCCTGACTCTGGACAAACAAAAAAAAAGTCTCTGAACCTTTCAGATCTTCCGTTTGTGCTAAGTCAGTAGAGATGCTGCCAGTCGTTGTTAGGATATTTGTGTTCTATTTTGTTTGTGCTTAATACAAAAATATATTTATGCTTAATATTTAAATATTCAGTTTCCTTAGATTTTTGTTTCTAGTCTACATGGTAATTTGATAATGGAGAAATTAGATTTAAACTGCATAAAAAGTTAGAGTGATTTGTTACTTATCACAAAAATACCAACGTAATTTATTTTAATCAGGAGGTTTGTAGTGCTAATATAATACCATTTACATTTTCTGAATGTCTCCTATTACATTAAACTGGGCCCTTTATTAACACACCCTTTGCTGCCTGTGATAGCCCTTGTGAAGCTCACAAAAGACTAGTAGTTTACATTCCCAATTACCTGCTTGTCATTTATTTATTTGGATCTGTATATTATAATATTTTTGAGCTTTTCAGGTTGAATGAAAGTTTCCATTTTTAATGTTTTGAATAAATTTATAATATTATTCTGCTTTGTTACTTCCTTTAGATTGAAAAGAAATGCTGAGAAATACATAAAGTTTTCCTCTCCTGCCTTGGATATTTATAATGGGTATCGGGAAGTCCAAAATAGATTCCTGCCCTCTTTCTCTCTCTTGGGGTAAAAGGCACAGTGTGGATACAAGTCCAGGATACCATGAGTCAGATTCCAAGAATTCTAAAGATGTGTCCTTGTGTGATGTTGCTGAGCACAGCAATTCAACAGAGGGGACAACAGGAAAGCAGGAGGGACCTCAGAGCGTGGAAGAGATGCTTGAAGAAGCTGAAGAAGAGGTGTTCCTCAAATTTGTGATATTGCATGCAGAAGATGACACAGATGAAGCCCTCAGAGTCCAGAATCTGCTACAAGATGACTTTGGTATCAAACCTGGAATAATCTTCGCTGAGATGCCGTGTGGCAGACAGCATTTACAGAATTTAGATGATGCCGTAAATGGATCTGCATGGACAATCTTATTACTGACTGAAAACTTTTTAAGAGATACCTGGTGTAATTTCCAGTTCTATACGTCCCTAATGAACTCTGTTAACAGGCAGCACAAATACAACTCGGTTATACCCATGCGGCCTCTGAACAACCCCCTCCCCCGAGAAAGGACTCCCTTTGCTCTCCAAACCATCAATGCCTTAGAGGAAGAAAGTCGTGGCTTTCCTACACAAGTAGAAAGAATTTTTCAGGAGTCTGTGTATAAGACACAACAAACTATATGGAAAGAGACAAGAAATATGGTACAAAGACAATTTATTGCCTGAGATGAAACACAAAACATGTGGCTGGCTCCTGTTTTGTAAACTAAATGATTAATCTTCACTTAAGAAAGCAGTTTCTAGGAAATGTTTAAATAAAAGAGTCTTATCCTTACAGAAACCTATGGAGCACAAGAAAGATAAATTTCTGCAGGACAATCTATAAAATTGTGGTACTTTTTGATGATTTAGTAAACATGACATTGTCAGAGTTTCAAGAACTTTTCTTTCACGATTTTCCTAGTTCATGGATATGAAAAAGGAATTCCCAATCCATATTCCTCATATTGAACCTTGAACAAAAGCTTGTATGACAGATATTTTAAAACATGTGGTAACACTTTTATTTTCTGAATTTTGATCTCAAAGGACACAAAAAAAATGGCCTCAAGAGATCTGACCATAATTCCTCTTGAGGCACCTCTCATGGATGTTGCAATAAGCATTCGGGTACCATCACCTAGAAATATGAATTGCCAGAATAGAACATTTAGCATGTTGAGTGTTGATGCATATAAAATCAGAAACAGATATGAGAATGGTGGAACTTTTTTAAAAAAACCCAGTCAAATGTATTTTCTGCTGAAATCTGCATATTCGGAGACATTTCCTACCACCAATTCACAGCTCATTTGATAGTGTGGTAGTTAGGGACTTCATGGAGTGGTGTTCAGACGTCCCCTGGGGCTTGAAGCTCTTCACATTAGTCATCATCTATAACTAGGGCTTTATTTGCAGAGCTTCTAAAAGGTGTATGACTGTGTAAGTGACCAGATGTTCACTTTTAAAATCAATAACCACTGTTATGGAAGCTTTAAACAAGTTTCCCTCACACACAACTCTCCACTTAGGAAGTATTTCTCATTTAGATCTTCAGAGTAGCCTGACTGTGTGCATGTGTGTGTGTAATGGGTTATTTGTAAAAACTTGGCATAGAAGGAGATGTATTTTATTACCTCCTGCTCTAGAGCCCCATGCTCCTAGCAAGCCAGAGGCCCTAAACAGGCTTGTTTCTTTCCTCCACAGCCCCTCTGCCCATCTGAGATTGAGGGAGCATAGTCCACTTCAGATCAGGAATGGGGTGAAGAACAGGTCGTGTCATGTAATGAGAAAAGCACTCTTTGGGGTCATGAGACCTGGTTCTAGTCCAGTCTCTGCCACTGAGGATGAATGTGACTGTGGGCAAACTATTTACCCTTCTTTATCTGTGAAATGAAAGGACTGAATTGATGGATCTCTAAAGGCCTTTGTCCTCTGTGAGGATGTGAAAAACTAGAGACCACAAAAGGGAACAAGCAAAAAAGTTAGAATTTGATAGTGTGATATATATATAATAGTTGCAGAAGGCTTTACATATGCTTATAACGAAAAGATCTTTGTATATTCACAGCATAATTGATTTTTAATGCTGTCATTACACTTTTAAAGTCACAGGAGAAAATATACATGCTTACTCAGGTTTTCTTAAAAATACCTTTTTATAGAGATCCTTGAGTAAAGACATTTTGCCTAATTTTTTTCTTCTTATCTTCACTTCTGTATCCCTACCAGTACTGGGATCTGCACACATCTTTTTACAGTTCATCTCTTCATAGCCATGAACCAAAATGTTCTATGAGGAGGATGCAAGTAAGTCAAAGCTTCTATTCCATTAGTAATTATTAGAGGAGGAGATTTTTTTCATTCCATAGTGACATTTTCTTAGCCTTAACATTCTGATACTACTCCCTTTTTCAGTTTTCATAGTAACTATTCATGTTTTTGAAATAATGCTTCCTGTAAATCCAATTTTATATACTAATACAACATGAAGTGCCCAACCTTCTTGCCTGCTAAACTTGGGGCAACTGATGCTAAATGGTATTTTTAAAATAAATGTTTCTATTCTTTACTCTGGACTAAACTTGTTTACTTTCAATTCCAGTGAAGATTGTGGAAGCGTTTTGAAATGAAGCACTGATTTATACTTCATAGAGCACCAGATACAATGTCTCACCCAATTTGGAGTTTCATATTTTTTTTATGGTGAAGAAAAATGTTAAGTGCTGAATTCCTGTATACGTTAAAATTATCAATGGTAACAAAATAGCTAAACTGAGGATGAAAACAGGTAAAGGTGTGGGCTTCGTCATGTGTTTGTATGCATGTGTACATATGTGCATGCGCACACACACATACCCACACATATCTAGGTACATACACAAATCAGGAAACCTGGGAAATTCTGCACCATGCTGTGGTGCTTTCATTTTGAGTACTCTGTAGGCCTTATTGCCCACCCTGGAGCTTCACAGGGGAGAACCTGAGTTGAGTCTTAGGTATCAGTTAGGAAAACCCCATGCTGCATGGCCTAAACCATAAGATAAAATTATTATCTGACTTAATAAGAGGTCCACCAAGGTATAGGGGCTCAAAGATGTCATTAAAAACCCAGTCATATACTGAAATACTATTCAGTTCTACAAAGGAATGAAATTTTGATACATGCTACAACATGGGTGAACCTTGAAAACATTATGATAAGTAAAATAAGCCAGACACAAAAGGACAAATATTATGTGATGCCACTTGTATGAGGTAAATTCACAGAGACAGAAGAAAGAAGAGAGTTTACCAGGGGCTGCAGGGAGGGAGGAATAGGGAGCTATTGTTTGATGGGTACAGAGTTTCTGTTTGGGGTGATGAAAACGTTCTGGAAATGGGTAATGGTGATGATGCACAACCTTGTGAATGTTCTTAATACCATTGAATTGGACACTTAAGCATGGCTAAAATGATAGATTTTATGTTATATATATTTTACCACAAGTTGAGTATCCCTTATCCAAAATGCTTGGGATCAGAAGTGTTTTGAATTTTGGATTTTCAAATTAGAGATGCTCAACTTGTAATTTAAAAAAAGAAAGGGTAAAAAAACAAACCAGGTTCTTTCTATCTTTTGCTCTGCCATTCTCTGAGTTGCAGTTGAGCTCCCTTCCAAGTTGTAGCCTGGCTGCTCCAATGTCAGATACCATATACAGACATGACAGTGTCCAGCCTAATAAGACAATAGAAGTGATTCACCCAAATGGAAAAAAAATTCACCACTGCATTATCGAAAATTGTTGATACTCAGTGATAATAAAGAGCCATCTGACTCCCAGCTGGTTCTATTATTTTAAAATTCTCCCTACCTCTACCCTGAGTGGACACCTCCTAGCCTCCCTAACTCCCAGCATCTTACAACTCCCAACATCTCATTTCTGTGAGTCAGACTACCTGGATTTGAATTCCACCTCTGTCCTCTATAAATTATATTCTTAAGCAAGACACCTAACTTTTTTGAGTTTTAGTGTCCTCATCTAAAAAGTAAGATCATAAATACCTCCCTGAAAGGTTATTTTCCATCTCTGTCCTCTATAAATTATATTCTTAAGCAAGACATGTAACACTTTTGAGTCTTAGTGTCCTCATCTAAAAATAAAGATCATAAATGCCTCCCTGAAAGGTTATTTTGAGGATTAAATGAGCTAGTGCCTCACATATAGCTACCATATCTATGCTACTAGAACGATTTTTGTTGCCTACACACATTCAATCTGCAGCATGGGTTGGCGGGGAGGACACATATGCATTTTTACATGCCCACAATCCTATTTTTGGAAACCTCGCAACTTGTAAGGATTAGATTTTAGACAAAGACAAAGGAAGATGCCAGGCCTTGTTTTCACGTGCAGTATAGTGCCTAGTCAGGCACTGAAAAGCAGAAGAGCCCCCCTAATCAGCAAGAGATGTGTGAGCTGTTGATGATGAGTGTGAGTGTGGAGGAAGCTGGTGGCATGAAGGATGCAAGACCATGGTGCCATGATTCTAACAAGTTGGGAAAGTTGGGCCATAAACTAGAAAAGCAGGAAAATGGAGTCTAGGAGTGCCAGCTTTGAAGCCAGTTAGGAGGAAGAATGGCTCCGACCTGGATGCCTTCAGCAGAGTTTTGTTGCTTCTTACACTCAAAAATGGTGGATCAACTTTGTATTCATTTGATTTTGGAGGGCAAGGGGTGTAACCCATTTAATTTAACTCTTTTCTGGAGCTTAGCAACTCCCAAATAATTTTGCCTCTTTTGGGAATAGGCTGGATGAGTTTAGTTATACTGTTCCTCTTGGGTTGGGTGGAGAAGGGAGTAAGAGTATCACTAATCTGCTCTGCCCCTTTCTTTCCTGACTAACTTGAGGACGGCCTTGAATTCAGCAGGCTGCTTGCTGGGGTTAACCCTTTCCAGCACAAGTCAGGGATGTTTTCCACTTCAGTCCCTCATCCTTCAATTGTGCAGATCCTAACGCATTGGTTGGCAATACTGCCTCACTGCATAGAAGGTAACATTAGTCATAGGAACAACTTCCCTGGGCCCTCTCCTTTGCAACAGCTCATTCCTAACTCCCAATCCCAGTTGCTGACGGTGGATGTTTTTCCAGTCTGGAAAGCTTAATCACTTCCTCTCCAGTAACAAATGCATAGACTAGCTTTCACTGAGCCATCTGTCTGCCCAGCAAAGGACCCTGCAAGAAAGAGATCGAAGTGGTTTTCACAGTATTGTTACAAGGGAAATCTGAGTTGGGACCCAAGTCTCCAAGGATGTAGAGTGGCTCAATATTAGAATCTAATTCAGGAGAATTATTTCAGTGCAGACAAAGGATCTCAGGTCCTTTATCTGTACATTTTGCAGGTAAAAAACCTCAGTGCAGGCAAAGAAACAACATGTCATGCTGTGGAGTCAGGCTATTCCCAACTGTAGAGAAAGCCTGTTGATCCATGACTGTGGTGCAGCTGGCCCCAGAGCCAGCGAGAAGCTTTTGCCATGGCTGCATTGCTGGTGAGGTGGGATTCTATGTGTTTGCCGTGAGCAATCTGTGCTGCCTCTGTGGCTTTCCTCCTCTTCACAGTCTTCTTACGCTGCCTCGTCTTAGGTCACCTGCTGAACTGTCACAGAAAGTGACTGTACCCTCCATACTTGTGGATGGTCTCAAGGGCAAGGATGAAATTTCAGAAAGCTGTCAGGCACCTGATGAAATGAAACCACAGCATCTGGAAGTTGATGCTTAAGTCCTTAAGCCAATGACTAGAAGGAATAAACAAGAGAATTGGTGGTGGTGTCCATGGACCTGATGTTTCTTATGAGATTCCAATTCTTATGAGACATTATGTATATAGCTCTTGTTAATATATATATATGTCATATGTGGCAATCCTCTTGTCAATTAACATATTAAATTTGGGTCGAGGTAAGTAGTACTTGAAAGTGCCATTAATTAATAACTCAGAGCATAAAAATTATTTCATTAAAACTCAACGAGTTAACTTGTGGAAAAAAAGAAAGACAGTTGCTCTGTCTTCTCCTTTGCCAATGAACCTGCTCTCACAACTGTTTACTCCAACATCTATACTCCTTCACAGCTCCCTTCCTTTCTTGTGTGATCAAGAATTGTTCTGGGGAAATCATTTCTTTAGCTAGTATAACACTCCTCTCTCTTCACATAGAGTGAGTTCTGAGTCATTTTACTCTGAGGTGAATAAATAGGAATGCTTTTATTAGCAAATAACAGGAACCTGCATTTAAGCAGTTTCAAAATCTAATTAGAAATGTTCCTTCAAGCTGCCTACTCAAACTACAGGTTTAAAACAAGAAAATTCATTTTCTCTATTATTTGTAGGGGAGCTCTACAAACTAGCTCCTCCCAGAAGTTTCACATGTATATATTGAGCGGGACACATAATGAGCTTTACAGATTTCTATATATTTTATGTGTACTTATAAATAATGCTATCACATTAAAATGTTCTAACATTTGATTCTAGTGCTGGTTGCACAACTCTGCACATATACTAAAGACTATTGAGTTGTACACTTGGAATGGGTAAATTTTATTATATGTAAAATATATCTCAATAAAAAACCTAAAAAATACTCTCAAGCAGAGACTACAATAAAATGCTACAGTGATTTGAAAACACAATTTAACAATGACCAGTAATGTTGAAGATGGGTATATCTGATGAATCTAGCAATTCTACCTCCGGATTTGTATCCCAAAGAAACTCTCTCACAGGTACCTAAAGAAGCAAGAGTGAGAAGGATGCCTATGCAGCGTTATTTGTAATAGGTGAATAATGGGAAGCAATCTAAATGGCCACCAGTAGGAGAATGCAGGAATACATTATGGTAGATTCATGCAATCAATACTGTAAGGCATTGAAAATAACTAAGAAAGCTACATATATGAAGATGGGTAAATTTCTAAAATGTAATGCTGGGGAGAAGGAAATTATAGAATAATATGTAAAGTTTGATATTTATATAAAGTTTTAAAACATACAAGACAGCTCCATATTTTTAACAGATACTTATACTGGTGATGGTATATTATTTTTCCATGCTCTCCTGTATGTTTGAAAAAGTTCATAATCATTTTTTAAATTAACATATAGTCTTGTTAAGTACTGTAGAAGTTTCTTATACATGCAATGATTTGGGGAATTAAAAAATGAAGACTGTCAATAGATTGAGAAATATATGCTTGTAATAATATGTTTCATTTTTTATCATCTACTATGTTTGGCACTTAACTTACATTATATCTAGTGTTCCCAAGATTCCCATGGGGTTAGTCTTACAGTGTCCAATATTGGGCCAAGAAACAGATGCTAGAGATATAATACATCCAACATCACAGGCTGGTAGATGATGGAGTCAATAAAATATCCAGTGGCCTGGCTGCAAGGCCTGGTAGGTCGTAGGCTTCATAATGCTGCTTCTCAATGTACCTGTCTGCTCTTCTCATGGTGGGAGAAATTAGGAGAGGTCAGTGGTACAAAGAGAAAACCGTAGCAATTTCTAAGTGAGAAAGAAACAGCATG